CTCATTTGGAGACTAAACATGATAAAAATATAAAGAAAGAACTTGTCTAAACTGAGCTTAGAAGTATATAAGAATTGGTGTCCTTCTTGTGGAGGAAATGGGGTGTATTTATAGGCTTTTTAGGCCTGCAGGGTCGTGTACCCGATCGAGTTTTTAGCTCAACCGATCGGGTAAGGGTTAGTTTCCTCGAAACTGAAATTCTGGGGTCATACCCGATCGGGTATGTCGGCTACCCGATCGGGTATGGATACGCGATCGAGTTAGAAAATCCTCCTGCATGTTGCCTTGTTCCCGGATTTATCCGATTTGACTTTTCAGCAACTTACCCGATCGAGTATAGGGCATACTCGACCGGGTACACTACCAAAAATCAGAATCTTCATCTTTTCTTGAAATCTTTGCACTTTCCTTCCAATTGTGATGTTCACCAATGGTCCCTAGAGTGGTCTTGGACCTGTTTGAGCTCAGAATCAACCTAATCTAAACAATTTAAAACTATTTTACAAACTAAACTTTTACACCAAAAGTGTGTAATTTCTAGAGTAACAATCACTCAAAACTAATCAAAAACACAATTATAAATACGGAAATAACATGAATGTCAGAGTTCTTATTCCAAGCTTTCAAAACCTGTTTCAGATTCTGCAATTTAATTAACATGGCATATATGAAAGATATTGAACCTCTTTAAATTGATTCTTTTCAATTTTTTAATATCATTAAAGATATTGCAAATATACCTCAGTTTCATAATCCTCTTGTCTTTCTCCAAAAACCCCTCATCCCACCAGCTGTTTTGCATCCTTCTGATAAGTTCATATTTCAACACGCATTTGATGCGTGTTGGGATTGAATTTTGATGGTTTTCCTTGCTTTAAGGCGTTGCAAGTCTCAATTTTAGTTCAAGTTGTGACTATCAGGCATTAAGTCTAGTTTTATTGCATTTGGAGTCAAATTGAAGAAGTTAGAGTCCGGCAATTGGCGCTTGAGAGGCAATCGGGAAGAGCTAGAGAGCATTCAAGAGAGATTTGAAGGTCACAAGGTGATTCACCACAAAATTTCGATGAAGAAAGAGCATTTGGATCAACCTCGTATGCATCCGGAAGCGTTTGGAGCAAGAAAACAAGGGAAAAGGGCGAAAAATACGGACGCACAGTCGTGCGTCTGTTACGAAAACGCGGTCAAGCTATTGCCTGCTACGCACGATCGTGCGTATCCAGGGATGCACGATCGTGCGTAGCCCCATGTTACGCGAGAAAAAAATCCTACATCGGCCAGAATTTAGAATTTTCCCCTATTTTCTATAAATAAGGTCTTCCTAACCCTTTTTAGGGGTTACGAACATTACTGAGAGGCCTAGGGACGAATTTAACATCGTTTTTACGCTGTTTTCTTCCAAGAACGTGGGATTCTTTGTAAGTTCATCTTTTTAATTAATGACAATTATTTCTATTCATCCCAATTCTGTTGATTCTTCAATTATGAATTTTGAGTAGTTTAATTAGGGATTTGGAGTTGATGAAGGGGTTAATCATGATTTATGGCTAGATTCTTGTCGGTTTAATTGCATGAATGCCGTTTAATTTGTGTTTGAATAATTTAACTGATATCTCTTGTAACCTAGAATCGCGACTAGAATTACAATTGCATGTAGAATGAATTAAGAGAGATCTAATTTATTTTAGGACACATTCACACACACTTAATCGTTCGCTAAGAGATTAGTAGCGATTAAGGGGCCGTAAGCTCGCTGGTTTAGGCAATAATTTAGGATCCTGTCGCATGAGAGATCAGCCTGGTCCCCTAAATTATTGTACTCTACGCCGCGAGAGCGGTAAAAACTTAGTAATGATTAGCTAGACTCAATTAAATTAATTTCATGTAATTAAGAATGATCTGCCAGAAATATGGTTACCCCGGAATCAATCCCTGTTCCCTTCATCTTTAATTGAGAAGACATCAATCTTTTATTTTATTGCTCATTAGCATTAGTTTAATTTTCGCAATCAATCAATCAATCTCGCACAATTGCATTTTATTTTATTCTCTTTAATAGCTGAATTTAGTTAATCTTTAATTCCCTTTTGTCCATCCCTGTGGAGACGATACTCGTACTTTCAACCACTATTCTACATCATTTTTAAGTGCTAGAAACACACATCAGTTTTTGGCGCCGTTGCCGGGGACGGTGTCGGATTTGAGGGTTAATTAATATCCATGACTAGTTTTAGTTTTTCGTGGGATTTTTTTTGTCTGCTAACCTTGCAGGTCAGATCTGTTTATGCATACACGCTCTAAGAAGGGAGAATCATTAGTCCCTCTTAATCCTGAGATTGAGAAGCTCGCCAGACAGATTCGCAAGGCTTTGAGAGAAAAGAACGCGACCATGGAACAACCATCTTCATCTGGAATAGCTGGGACGTCTGAGGTCCAAACCACTTCCGGTAACCTTGACTTCTATGTCAATACCTCTCCCTAGTCTTCACCGCCTATTTCAACTAGAAATTACTCGGGATTTCAGAATTCCAACACCTCATTCTTTTCTCAAAATCGGTCCACTCCACGATTGAATCTTCCGCCACTATATCAGCGTTTCTAAAATACCTCTATTGCTCCTGAAACCACTTTTCAATATCAGACTTATGGGATGCAAGGTATAGGGGAAAACATTCCGGTCTTTCAGCCGAGACAAAACCAGCCCCCAGTCACCCAAAATCCACCCCTAACTCAACCGCAAACTCAGCCTTTAATTTCCAAAACCAGTTTCAACAATTCCGACAGCCCCAAGTGCAACCCCAACCGCAACCAAGCATTATCCGACCACAACCTATTCGTGCATAACCAGTTCTTCATCCGAGACGTTAGTTTCCTCCATTCCAGAACTATGTCCCACATGACAACCCGCTCTATCAAGGAAAGACCATTGCAGATTTCCTCACTCCGTAGATTACAGAGTATGATAGCATTCAGGTATCAGGAATTACTGCACCCCGTTATGATATCAAGCCGGCGGTGATCAATATGGTCTTGAATAATCAGTTTGGAGGGAGTCCTACGGAAGATCCAGTGGCACACATTACCAAATTCTTGAGGATGTGCCAGACATTCAAGATCCCTGGGTTAGATGACGATCAGGTACGGATGCTATTGTTCCCTTTCTCATTAAGGGATGATGCACAGAGGTGGTTGGATAGCAATCCACATCACCACATTCAAACTTGGGATCAGCTGCATAAGGCCTTCATAAAAGAATAGTTTCCGACATCAAAGGCTATAAAGTTGAAGAAGCAGCTGCAAGACTTCAATCAAGGCTCGTTGGAGACATTGGCTGAGGCATGGAAGAGATTTAAAGTGCTGAGAAGAGCTTGCCCTCAAAGCAAGATGACTGATTGTGAGATTCTATTTTGCTTCTACAGTGGACCCAGCAATGAATGGAAGATGATGCTTGATGCTTTGGGAGGTGGAGCTTTCCTTCAATTACCATCTGAGGTTGTGGAAGAACTAGTGGAGAAAATTGTTTCGAATAACGCTTCATGGTACAACTCTCGAGACACACCTCACCAGAAGGCCCCAGGTTTATGTGAGATTATTATACTTTTTAAATAAGCATCATATTTGTATTTATTGTCAATTTAGCTAACTACTAGTCTACTACTTGATAAATAATACGGAGTAATGATCATCATAATAAAATATAACAACATTAATAAAGACTGTACTATTAATGTATCAATAACTGAAAGTATATATATATATATATAACATTAAACTTTTTAAATAAACATCATATTTGTATTTATTGTCAATTTAACTTAAAATACATTTTATATTTTTTTAAAATTTGTATATTTTAGAGTAATAATTTAATTTCTATGTTGACCGAGTTTTCCGGCGTTGACTGGGTTGACCCGACAATTGACCCGCCAGGTTCGGGTTGACCCGGCCGAATGAAAGGGTCACTTCCCGGTTCGATTTTTACAACATAGGTCACTAGTATTGAATGTGTCCTTATTTAATTGAATGAGTCCTTATTTTTAAAGACATGTAATGTACTACTACACATTCTTTAAACTAGTGTAATGTACTATTATCAAAACACCTAAAAATAAATTACCGGTACATGATTAATACAGTGAACTAGTCTTATGTGATAAATTTGTACCTGTTTAATTTTTATTATAGATCGATGGGTCAGATCCGCACTTAAATTATTAGGAATTTTATGCAATTCATACAATTTGCTCCTCTATTAATTTATTTTAAAGGTCTCGTTGATAACTTTTTATTTAACTATTCGATCACTATATAACATTTAACTATTTATTAAACTATTAATAATAAATGTCAACACATAAAACCAATTTATTTCAAATTGTATTTAACATGAAAAATACATACCGGGAGATTCGAAGTTCTCAAACGTTTGGGGGTTGTTCCTCCGGCCATATACTGATGATGGACCCTCTCCGCTATTTTGAAGCATAGCATTAGTATTTGTAGGAGCTTCGTGGAACGTCACATTTTGTGACGGGGCTGGTATAGCTTCTGCGTAAATGTGAAACTCATCGTACTCATTTCTAGCGATCTTGAAAAAATGAGTCCATGTCTTCTCATTGTGAATGGGCCATAGTCTAGAAGCTACATATACCGAGTTCTTATATTTCGGCAATTTTCCGTGAATTAATTTAATTTCGGAAAATCTCTCACTTCTAACATGGTTTAGAACACTCTCGTATATACTGGTAAAGTCATCATCTCCGCTGATGAATAGTACCACCCTAGGAGGAATGGAGTACTCTATTTCATCATCTTTTTGAAATGTTGAGCCATTCCAATGAACCATAACAACAACATTACTCTCACTAGACATTTCTAAATATGGTGGTATATATTAAATATATTAAGAGAGGAAGAAGTTTTTTTATTGTGATAAAATTTGAGGGTGGGGAATGGGTTTTATAGGACAAATGAGAAAGTTTTGGTTTAAAATTAAACACGTATATAAACACTATACATACACCATAACCGAGGAGATGTGAAACGCGAACGTCGGAAAAACCCTAGCGCGCGATGGCTTCGACGGCGCGACAGATCGACAAAGTTCGGTGATGGCGACGGTGAGAAGGCTTTGTTCTTCAGCGGGCAGGTTTTAGTTCTGTTTATTGACGTTTTTGTTCGAGTTTTCTTCTTCTCCGGGCGTTCTGTCCCGCGGTCTTTTTCTCCGGCTCAATTTGGCCGAGACTCTGTTTCGAGTGCCTCCTGCGGGATTTTACCGCTGCAGTATTTCTTATCCGTATTGGCTCTTTACTTGCTTTTGGGGTTGCAGTGGTTTCGTTCCTAGTTTACTTCTGTGCTTTGGTGTTTTTTGTCATTTGCTTTGATTTGGTGAAATCTTGGTTTGGAATGATGGATATGATCTCAAGAAATGTTAATATGCTATCAATCGCTGAGGAAGAAAATAGAGGGTTGGTGCTTGCGGCTGACCCGATCGAGAATATGGGCGGGATTAATGAGGGCTTCAATCTAGCGGTGGTGGCCAGAGTGGTGTCAGATAAACCTGTTCGTGCTGTTTCTTTTTGCCAATCAATGGCTATGGTATGGCGGCCAGTTAGGGGGGTCTCTATTGATGAAATTGAGGACTCTAAATTCTTGCTACAATTCTATCATGAGGGAGATCTGAACAGAGTTGTTGATGAAGGGCCTTGGTCTTTTGAGCAGAACCTGGTAGTCATAAAACGGTTGGGTCGCACGGATAAGCCTTTGGAGGTTGCATTGGACCATGCAGATTTTTGGGTTCAGGTACATGATTTGCCTCTAAGTTACATGACGGCTAGGGCGGCACGTGGCATAGCTAATAGCATCGGATCATTTGTGCAATTGGATGAGAGCTCCCCGGGTGGAAAGAAAAGGTTGTTTATGCGAATAAGTGTCACTCTGAATGTTACCATGGCCTTGACTCAACGCTTACAGGTTAGGCAGGAGGGGAACAACTGGACTTGGGCAAACTTTTGGTATGAAAGACTCCCGAACTTCTGCTTCTTGTGCGGGATTCTTGGTCATGCTGACCGGTTTTGTCCCTCTAACCCTCATAGTGGAATAGGGATTGGTGAAAAACCGTATGGCCCATGGCTACGGGCGGATATGAGGCGGGGAGGAGTGCATCCAGGAAATCGGTGGCTTATTCCTAGCAATAATAGACCATGTGTTAGGCAGGAGGAAAGGGAAGAGACTGAACAAGGGACAAAGGACCATGGAAGCTATTTGGTGCAAGGACTCTTGTCAAAGGGTAAGGAGATCGCCACAATGGGGGATGCATCAAGAAAGCGTAGGATCACTGAGAAAGATAATGAGGTGGGGATCCAGGCAAGCATGGAGGTAGATGAAGAATCTTCAAAAAACTTGGAAGTGGCGGTGTTGGACGTACAACACCGCCAGTAGCAGAAGAGTATGAGGTTAAGATGGGTGTTCCTTTAGCGGAGGCTGGTCAAACTGCTACTCCCTTGCCAGTGGCTGGACAAACTGGATTATGTTCCCTTTCTGTTTTTTCTTTTATTCAGAACTCTGTTTTCTTTTTTCATTCCTTGTTTAATAGCAGCATTGCTGTGTATGGAGTCTACCAAATTGCGGTGCGGGGTTAGCGAGGTGGTCCGCTAGTAAGCGCGAATCCAGCTCTGAGTCTCATCCCAGTGTAGCCTTTGTTATGGCGAATTTGTATCTGGTCCTCAGTTTAATTAATGATTAAGTTATCTGTTTTCAAAAAAAACACTATACATTTTGGCTTTTACATTTTGGCTTTCACTCTACTTGGAGTAAAATGGAATCTCGGTTCACATGGTTTTTGGATTTAAATTATTGTTGCATCTATATTTCAAAATTTTAATTTAAAAAAAAGGAAATTTAATCTTGTGGGATTGGCAAATTCCGACCAGAGGAAAATTTAATTTAAAAAAATAGGATCTCTCCTTGTTGGATTACCCATTTCTTACAGGATGTGTTTTTAGGAAAATTTAACCCTGCCCTCTAGACGGAACCCCCAAATACGGCGCCCGTATTTTGGTAACCTAATTCCAATTCCCGCATTTTGGCATGTTAGAACCAAAATGGTAATTTCCTCGAAACAACACCCATTGGATAACGAAGTCAACCTACCTTACTACCTGCAAGTCTGGAATGTGTTAAGGCTTTTAGAAACACCGACGCCATGCATTACATATGCACTACATAGCTACACTAATACTCCGTACTACGTATATCTCTTAAAAATCATACTCCGTATATTTCTACATGCGTCTCTCTTCCACAGAAATAACTTTGAATATCAATTATAATCAATACTATAATAATATATTACATAAATAAAGATAATTACTTCACAAACTAACTATTCAATTAGACAATAATTCCGCGTTTTTTATTAAACTAATTACTTCTAGTTGGCTCCCATATGATATCTTAAAATTATGATAAAGAAAACATGTCATTGTTTTGGGAAATTATGATAAACAAATACTTTCGTAGAAGTATTGATTACTTTTAACTACATACATCCAAATATCTGTTGTATGGGTGTGAGAACAAATATACTCACCCTTGTTCTATTTTTGGAACAAATATACTCTTGAAGTATATGTTGAAGTGCATATATACCCCTGAACTTTTTAGAGTTGCAAAAATACCCCTCATTTTTTATAAAAGAGCAAATTTACCCTTATTGACTTTAAATTGACAAAATAAATTTCAAAAACACCAAAAATAAATTATAAATTCGAAATTAAAAAATAAAAAATTTTGAAAAATGTACATGTGTCCAATTCTCCCTTTTATTGTTTGTATATCACAATATAATATTGTTAGTATACAATATTATTTCAAAACTTTACTATGTATTCAAGATTCATTCGAAAAAGTGTTAACATATGTGTTGCAATGTAAAAAAATTACATTCTTTGCACTATAATATCACATAATTTTGTGTGATGATAAATATCCAAGATTACACAATAGTGAATTTAATTTTATTAAGGCTAAACAAAATCAAAGAATGTTATTTTAAAAATGTAACAATGTGTTAAAAATTTTGCAACACGAATAAAATTAAAATTGATGAATTTGAAGTGCTTAATTTACAACGAAAAAATAATAATTTTGCAATTTAAAATTAAAGAGTTAATATTGTAACATAATAATAAATATTTATTTTTAAATTTCCAATTTATGCTTTATTTTTGGAGTTTTTTGAAATTTATTTTATCTATTTAAAGTCAATAATGGTAAATTTGCTCTTTTATAAGAATATGAGAGGTATTTTTGCACTTCTTAAAAGTTCAGGGGTATATACACACTTCAACATATTCTGCAGAAGTATATTTATTCCGAAAAATACAACAAGAGTACATTTGTTCCCACACCTATACTACTAGGGTATATTTGTACCTTTTCAATTGTTTTTTCAATTTTATAAAAGAAGAGACTAATTAACCGAAAGAGAATAGAAAGATAAAGTTTCTAAAGGAAAGTTAATCGACAACGTTGGTGAAGTATTGAAGTGGTTAAGGAAGTAAACACGTTTTGGAATTCCAAAATAGCTAGAACTAGTATGTTTTTGTCATCTTCTAGTAATTATTGCCAAATAGTTGTAGTACAAAGAATTCAACATAACAGTATTCACTATCATTAGTTGCTGTATTTTTTAGTCATGACAATATTTTTGAGTCATGGCGGTAACGACTCTTATTTCGGGTAGAAAAACATACAAGTTATATTTTAGAATTCCAAAGCTCATTTACTCCTATTTTGAGCAGTTTTCCTGTGGTTAATTGTTTCTTGGAGAGTGATGTGGTTTACCGCAATAAATGATTTGATATAATAATAATATCATTCAAAAATGAATCCAGCTAGGTTATTCATAAAAGGGTTTTTTACGAGAATATTACTAAAATAAAACTTATTTATATAAATATGACTATTCATTACTACAACGTAGTGCTGTGGTAATTAAAGTTCAAAACTTGAACATGAATTACTATGATTTCATTACTACTCTAGTAATGAATCATATTTTTGTAAACTATCTTTATTTTGGTCATATTTTTGTAATTATTTCTTCATAAAATTAGAAATAATTATTGAATACAACACTTAATTAAAAAAGTCAAATTATTTGGGGATGATGACGGACAGTACGTAATTAAAGATAGAAATTTCATTAATTTAATTTTATGTGCTCATATAATAATTTTATTAATTTTATTTTATCTGTGTAATATTATGTATCATACTATCATATACAGTGTTGTGTTAGAGATCAGATCTCATGTATTTTTGAATGTTTGCAGCTTAAAAATTTATATTTTTACAATACGTATATATTACTCCGTATTGATTAACATGCAGATCATACTTTATTCGGTAGTACGGAGTACTTCGTATGTACGTAGTATGTATACATATTAGTACTTGGTGCAATTTAATTTAACAACTGGAAAGTCATCTCTATTGTTTTAATTTGGAAGCCTGTCTATATAAATGGGAAAATGGCTCTCTTATCTTATCCATCGCTCTTAGCTTAACTTCCATCAATAAATTGAAATGGATCAGAATTCCAGTTCCAAAAAACTGCTGGTTTTTGCCCTTTTCATGTCTTTATTGCTCTCGGAGGCGGCGGCACGTATCAATAAGAATCGCTTTGTTCAGACTCGTAACGATGGCGAGGATGATGAGATTGAGGTGGTTATTCTCAAGGGATTCCACGCCTCTGGGATCGTTGAAGAGTATAAAAGAAGATCCCTCATATCTACCGATAGAGATGTCCCCGGTGGACCAGACCCGCACCATCATTAACGTAGATAAATGTATGTGTCGAGGTACGCAACAAATCTCGTGAAGTTGCTTAATAATATTCTAGTAAGTGTTTTCTCGCAACTTATCCCACTGATTTTGGTGGTTTACCTTCCAGAGTAAAAAAAGAAAGAAAAAAAGGGTACCCAACAAATCACTAGGCTCACTCATCTCATCTTAGCATTCGATAATATTGAAATTGATTTAATGGGATGAATATGTTGAAATCCATGACATTTTAATTGAAGCTGCTGAATTATTCGAATGGGTTGAATCATGGAAAATTTTTATTTAAAATGTTATTTTAGAAAAATTTAGATGAAATATAACTAAAATGACAATTCAATCAAAAAAGTAACTTCAACCATATTAATATTGATTATTACACAATTGAGCGTGTAAATAAAAAATTATGTACTTGACAAAACGACAAAAAGTTAGCTATAAACTTGATATGATGAAAATAAGGATTACCAATTGGGACTTGATTGTCTCAAATAGCAAAATACCTTTTAATTATTGCGCACATCCGTTTATGAATATTTAATTGGAGAGTTTTTAATTTGATGGTAAAAGCAGAATCTATCTATAGATAATACATTTGAAGGTTACAATTAGAGAAATTATTGCCACATGTCAATTCCATAGTTATCGTTTTAAATTTAATTTCCAAATTAAAGGAAAGTAATCCTACGTACGTATTTCATATAGGAATTACTCTAATGTTAACCTATTATTTAGGGTCCTAACAAAATAAAATCCCAAGTTTTTTTAAAGTGTTATAACTTTTTCCTGTGTATTCTGATTGTTATAAAATATTTATCAAAATTCATAACTTTTTATTATCTTTCAAATGACACCCATATCAAATACACAAAAATAAAAAATAATTTAACACTTTAAAAAACATTTGTTTTATTTAAAATTATATAACTTTTTTATTTGTAATCTAATTGTTACAAAAAATATATCTAAAATCATAACTTTTTATTATCTTTCACATGATACCATAAAATTGAGATCATTTTTCATTTCTAAATATGGGGCATCTTTATTTTTTATTTTTTATTGTAAAGTTTTACATGTTTATGTTTCGGTTACTATCTAGCACTTAGCTTGACGTGAGAATCTTTTTATAGGTTTAATCATTTGCAACTTTCTACGTTCAATTATACATATTTTAAATCAATGTAATGAAAAATAAATCGACCGCTACTAATCGCGTTATGCAGCCGGACTATTATCGCCGCCATTACCTTCATTGAAATAAAAAAATATCACAAAATTATGTATTCTAATTAATTCTTCTCTTAAAGAAGGAGATAGAAGAACTAATTTGCTCAATTCTAAATCCTAGAAGGGCTAATATTTTAAAAAAAAATGACCACACCATTATTAAATAAATAAATTACAAAAATGAGTGGTTATAAGTTTTGAAAATACGGTGAGCTACAGATGAAATCTAATGGCTAAAAATAGGCATTGAGCAATTTTTTTTTTGTTTATATAAAGATGTTTGAAAAGACGAAATTCAATTGGATGCAACAGAAGCTATTAAAAGATGTGCTTTTTTTTCAAAAAAAAAAGATGTGCTTTTTTAATTGGATAATATATACTGACAACATGTTTAAATATTTAGTTAAAAATAAGACATACTCAATAAATAAGATTTTCTTTTTTCTCCAGGGGGCATGTGGGGGAGGGTGCTGGGGGCCTGAGTAATTAAGACTGAAACCCACTCTATTGAGTTTCGAATCTGAGACCTCCCATAAGGGAGAGTGACTCGGCGACCAGCTGGGCTGGATCGCTTCTTCAATCAATAAATAAGAATATACATTATTAACTAATGTTATTATTGACTAAATAAGTGACTTTACGTTAATTCTAATAAGGCGTATATGACAATGCACGCGTACACACACATGTT